AGGCTACATGACCGACAGGCTACATGACCGACAGTCTACATGACCGACAGTCTACATGACCGACAGTCTACATGACCGACAGGCTACATGACCCACAGTCTACATGACCGACAGTCTACATGACCGACAGGCTACATGACCGACAGGCTACATGACCGACAGGCTACATGACCCACAGTCTACATGACCGACAGTCTACATGACATGACCGACAGTCTACATGACAGTCTACATGACAGTCTACATGACAGTCTACATGACCGACAGGCTACATGACCGACAGGCTACATGACCGACAGTCTACATGACCGACAGTCTACATGACCGACAGTCTAAATGACCGACAGTCTACATGACATGACCGACAGTCTACATGACAGTCTACATGACAGTCTACATGACAGTCTACATGACCGACAGTCTACATGACCGACAGGCTACATGACCGACAGGCTACATGACCGACGGGCTACATGACCGACAGGCTACATGACCCACAGTCTACATGACCGACAGTCTACATGACCGACAGTCTACATGACCGACAGTCTAAATGACCGACAGTCTACATGACATGACCGACAGTCTACATGACAGTCTACATGACAGTCTACATGACAGTCTACATGACCGACAGGCTACATGACCGACAGTCTACATGACCGACAGTCTACATGACCGACAGTCTAAATGACCGACAGTCTACATGACATGACCGACAGTCTACATGACAGTCTACATGACAGTCTACATGACAGTCTACATGACCGACAGTCTACATGACCGACAGGCTACATGACATGACCGACAGTCTACATGACAGTCTACATGACAGTCTACATGACCGACAGTCTAAATGACCGACAGTCTACATGACATGACCGACAGTCTACATGACAGTCTACATGACAGTCTACATGACAGTCTACATGACCGACAGGCTGCAAAACATGGAAGACAACCTTAATCCCAATCTTAAAGCGAAAAAAAAAACGAAATTTATGTTTAAAACAAATTTGTTTTCTGAACGATTTTTTTAAAATCAGAAAAACAAATAGCGTCTTGATCGATTGAGTGAATTAGGGACAGGGGCAGACAAGGCTGGATTCTTTTCATGTGAGTTGGGGGGGGGGGGTGAGTGGGGGAGAGATACGTTGAGGATATGTAGGGGTAGGGAAGATAATTGAGCTGAGAAAAATGTGCTGTTTGGGTTATCTTGAATGAGATAGGTTTGATGGCGAGGGGAGGGGAATAAGACGCAGGGATATAGATCCTGCACTGTAGATAAGTTTAAGCACTGAAGTGCTAGATCGTCTTTGGGGATGGACGGGGTGAGATAGGGTTAAGGTAGCGGCGGTGGGTGTAATAAAGTAAGTGGGTTGTTTTTTTAAACGATATCTTAATATATTTAAGCAGCGCATCTGACATTTTGAATTTTTTTTTCTTTTAAAATATGTGGAGGCTGGGGCATTCGTGGTGTTTTTTTTTTTTTTTTTTTTTTTTTTTTTTTTTTTTTTTTTTGTTAAGTTATCTTAGCTAATATCTAATTAAACATAAGATTTCAAGTTTTGTATTCTGTAGTGCTAAAATGATTTATCTCTGTTTATGTCAAAGTATGTTGCTGTTGAATTGACGTGTAGGGGGGGAGGGTGAAGGGGGATGAACATAGCAGGTGGTATTGCAGATTGATTTAGCTGAGAGGCTTAAAAAAATAGTAGTTGTGTTATTTTAGATCAATATTTGTTTTAATTATCTCTGCTTTTGCGTGGGGATTGGTGCACGGGCACTACCACCTCTCTCTCTCTCTCTCTCTCTCTCTCAAACAACCCCACACCCCTACCCACCTCCCAGATATAAAACGTTGAGGAAATATTGTGAAGATCGAGCGTGGCCTACCCTGCCATACCTAAGTCCTTCACGTCTGAGGACAGCCAGAGCTTCTTCCAGGCATATCCACGCCTCCCCCACCCCCACCCCACCGAAGAAAGTCTAACGATCTATATAGAAAATATATACTTTTACCAGTGTCCGCACCCCCCCCCCCGGAAAATTTAGTCCACCCCCCTGAAAATATCAAGTGCCCCCCCCCCCCCGGAGAAATAAGTATGAAAGAAACACTGAGTACATCATGTGCCATGATCATAATTAAAGGTCCCGATGTTTACCAACTGTCGTACGAGTAATCAAAGACCACGGACGGTAAGCTGACCACATTAGTTGCTATTTATTTAAACATGTCCAGTCTAGTTTCCCTGGCCTGGTAATCTAGGTCTAAAGATTTATGCTCGTCCTCTTACATGTTTTAAAACATTTGGTACACTTAAATAAGCTAAAAGGTAGATAAAGTAGAGTTCACCTGTTAATGCTACCTTCACATACAAAGGGTGGATGTGGTCGGTTTTCCTACCGTGCTATGGCTCACTAAAAAAAATCATCAACAATGCAGCATTTATTTTCTTGTTGCTAAAAAAAAGCAACCCAGAGACTTTCAATCAAAAAGTTTAAAAATAAAATTACCCAACTCCCAAAAGAAAAAGAAAAAACTCACTAGGAAATAACAGCAAGACACCACTTTGCTGAGATATCACCCATACTGCTAGTGTTTTGATTACACAACAAGATAACCCCCCCCCCCCCTACTGGCTGGGCCGTGTTTTCTGGCATGAAGAGACCGTACTTTTGTTTCTCCGGAAGTAATTTGTTAAAACCACCACTTTCCATCAGAAAATTAACACACACAAAAATTCAGTTAAGGATAAAAAAAAAGATAAGAGTAAATAGCTGTGTTAACGAGCTTTGTCGAGAAAAAAAAGGAATTTTAAAAAATGAGTTTTTTTTCACACTTCTGATTTTTAAAATTCTGGCAACTTTTTTGTTTTCTCCTAGGCGAAGTTGAAGTAGAGAGGACGACAAAAGGTTGAAAAAAATAAAAACTAGGAAGATTACTTGCTGTTGAGCAGCTACGCATGCGCGAACACACGCATGGGCGTCGACTCCAAAGGAACACTTATTTGAGGAAATTCCAGCAGACTTTAAAATTTATTTGCCAAAGTATGTTATTTACTCTAGCCAGGTGAATTAAATTATCTAGAATTTCGAAAAACTTAAACAGATTGAATGAGAAGCCTTTGGCGTTAAGGTGTGTTAAGGAAATTGTATAAAGGACGAGCTTGTCCATAGAGACTTTAATGGGGTTCTTTGTAAATAGAAAATTGTTGATTTCCAGTAACGTAAGCTATACAAGAGATGTTTACCGAGTGTGGGGAATTTGTAAATGAAAATAAATGGGGTAGATAGATGAGTTTACCTGACTCTAGACGGAAACGGAAATAAAAATAGAAGACAGGAGACAGAAAAAGCAAGCAGTGGGAGGAACAAACGGTGCATTGTAAAATTTCAGAGTTCTGCAGTTCTGAGTTTGTTATAATAATTTGAGCAGCGGGTAATGAGTCAGGAAGGTGTTTTGTATCCCGGAAATAAAGAAAAGTAATGGCGGCTCCTGGGTCGACTCAGCTGTAGTGAGTATCTAACGAATTCATGGAGAACAAATAAAGAAGGTCTAACCTTTGTATGAGGCACACGATTTTCTACAGATGCAGTGGCGATTATAATCTATATTTCATTTTAGATTTTATTATTTTATTATCTCTAAATAATACTTCATCTAAATAAATGTTACCAGTTGTAAAATAATGCATTATCAATACCATTTACATGTATATACGAAATATATATATATATATATATATATATATATATATATATATATATATATATATATATATATATATATATATATATATATATATATATATGTGTGTGTGTGTGTGTGTGTATATGTATGTATGTATGTATGTATGTATGTATGTATGTATGTATGTATGTATGTATGTATGTATGTATGTATGTATGTATGTATGTATGTATGTATGTATGTATGTATGTATGTATGTATGTATGTATGTATGTATGTATGTATGTATGTATGTATGTATGTATGTATGTATGTATGTATGTATGTATGTATGTATGTATGTATGTATGTATGTATGTATGTATGTATGTATGTATGTATGTATGTATGTATGTATGTATGTATGTATGTATGTATGTATGTATGTATGTATGAATGTATGTATGTATGTATGTATGTATATATGTATGTATGTATGTATGTATTTATGTATTTATGTATATACATATGTGTGTGTCTATTTAATTAATTTTTTTTTATTTATTTATGTATATACCACATCCTAACTAGGGAGCATTTGACTATGATGACTATTGATGACTAGGCCGTAGTTATAGCACACACAACATTGTACCTCTTTTTACGATTTTGAATCATAACACGACCTGTATTATACGCAGTTTCTGTATCTAGTCATTCGTGTAACTTATCTCCTAATGTTTTCTCACATACAATCAAAGCTTCAGGTATTGATTACATTGATCACACCAGTGAGTGAATGTGTTCTGGTTTACTCTATGTGTACGGTATTTAGAGCTGCAATTATTGAATATAAATAACCGAAGTTAATTAATCCGTAAGAGATTAAATTGCCTGTTATTTTTATTTTCTAATCTCTAGTTATCACATCATAAACAATATCGATTAAATTATGCTCCTAATTATCACATAACTTGTAAAATATAAATTACAAGAATATAGCAATGTTTTTAACGTGTAGGCCCATTGTATATCCTATTTATTTGAATAGAGCTGTTACTGGATGGATTTAGACAGATTGTTAACCTACATTATCTTAGATGATTAAGATACATGATCTTAAATATATTATTATTTCTAGATAAATATTTTTAAAGAAGAAAAGTCAATAAGTCACTATATATCACAACTTGATATAATTGAAGATTTTTTTTTCCTTAACACTTCTAGCGAAGTAGGAAATGCTTCTTTCTTATTGTTAGCGCTGTTTGAAAAAGAACAAAACGTCGGTTCTGCTTAACATACCATTTATAACCACAACGCTTACCTTTTTTGATGTTGGAGTTAGAATCAGCCAGCTTCTTATAGACAATGTTGAAACAAAACAAACATTTTAATCCGAATTTCACCGTTGAATATCTTTCTGTAATGCCCAATATGTTGTATTAAGTATCCAATATCCGTGTATAGTGAATTAAACACTCGGGTTTTTAATCTTATGTATCATGAATTGAACACCTTAATCCAACATTCAGGTAGAATGTGTGGGACACCTTAATCCAAGTAGAGTGTATTGGACACCTTAATCCAGGTAGAGAGTGTGTCACACCTTAATCCAGGTAGAGAGTGTGTCACACCTTAATCCAGCTAGATTGCGTGGGACACCTTAATCCAGGTAGAGTGTGTGAGACACCTTAATCCAACAGCCAGGTATATTGTGAGACACCTTAATCCAGGTAGAGTATGTGGGACACACCTTAATCCAGGTAGAGTATGTGGGACACACCTTAATCCAGGTAGAGTATGTGGGACACACCTTAATCCAGGTAGAGTATGTGGGACACACCTTAATCCAGGTAGAGTATGTGGGACACACCTTAATCCAGGTAGAGTATGTGGGACACACCTTAATCCAGGTAGAGTATGTGGGACACACCTTAATCCAGGTAGAGTATGTGGGACACACCTTAATCCAGGTAGAGTATGTGGGACACACCTTAATCCAGGTATAGTGTGTGGGACACCTTAATCCAACAGCCAGGTAAAGTTAACAGCCTTGCAGTTTACTGCATGTGTGAGAATATTTTAACACCGCTAGCCGCTTTACCTGTATAGGTGCCACAGCGGGGATTCGATATCTTCCGTTTATTTATATTTTGTGTAAATAAAATGTGTTTCTATAAACTTGAAGGATTTTGTTTCTTTTAACAGCTTGTTGTACTAATTACATTCTGACACTCTAGGCTCAAGAAACTATTTAAAAAAAAATAAAATAAAAATAGTTACAATAAATACAATTTATTTTCGATTAAAGCATTTAATTAATAAAACATGGCTTGCTAGTTTTTACGTGTTTCTTTTTTTATTCTTTCAACAACAAAAAATTATGTAACAAAAACGTAATGCATTATTGTTTGTATGATATTTATCTTGGTTTTTTAAAGAGCTTTTTAAGAGAACAAAACACTGCTTTAAAGAAGGCATGTAGCAGCATGCGATTTAAAGCGCAATGATAAAATCAATCTGCCCTAATTTCAGAACACTTAAGAATATAATTCTGTTCTAAACAAATGACCGGAAACTTTAGAAACTGAGCGGGCTAATTAATGTCCGAACGAACTTTTTAATGAATGTCCGGATAAGAACCGCGTAATGAATTTCCGGATGAAATTCGCCTAATGAATGTCCGTATGGGATCCGGCAAATGAATATCCGAATTCGAACCGCTTAATAAATGTCAAGATACGAACCACCTAATAAATGACCGGATGCGATCCGTCAAATGAATATTCGAATACGAACCGCTTAATAAATGTCAAGATACGAACCGCCTAATGAATGTCCGGATGGGATCCGCCTAATGAATGTCCGGATGGGATCCGCCTAATGAATGTCCGGATAAGATCCGCCTAATGAATGTCCGCATGGGATCCCCTTAATGAATATCCGGATAAGAGCACCGGTGTCCTTGTCCTGGTCCAGCTGTGAAGACACGGAACTTAAGTTGCACCCCGCTCACCCCTGCACCACGGCTCACACACCAACCTTACGTCGCCGCTCACGCCAGTGGCAGACTGCACGTGCGGCTCTGGAACCACTGGATGGAAGATCGAAGCGTTTGAACAGTCGGTGTTTACGTCATTTACCTGCCAGTGGGCGCGTGGTTGCTTCCCTTGGTTGTTGTTTTGTTTTAAATTTCTTCTTATTGTTGCTTCCCTTGGTTGTTTTTTTTTTTTAATTTCTTTTTATTGTTGCTTCCCTTGTTTTTTTTTGTTTTTGTTTTTTTTTTAATAAGATTGCCTACCTTTAAATTTACTTTTATAAAATTTAATATAAAATAAACGTGTATATTTATATTTTGCAATGTTTGCATTTCATTCTTTTTATGCTAGATCTACTTGTTATTTGTGAGGCAAATGTTGTTGGTTGTGAGATAGTCTAAAAATGACATTACACAATTTTTGCCAATTTCCAACCAACACCCAACATTTATGTGAAATTTATGTCGAATATTAAGGATCAGAATCCGACTAAAAATACCATATACCGAAAACATACATAAAACATTGTCAATTATGAATAAATAAAATCATGAAAACGTGTAGGCCTATATGTATATAATATATAAACTATATAGCTTAAGAATAAATATAATTCGCTATACTATTTTTACAGTAGCTTCCCTTTGATGTTGAAACTAAATGCATAAAAGATAACTGATGTTAATAAGCAATTATACACATTTTAAAAGAGATTTTATTAAAGTTTTATACCTTGATGAAACAGTGATTTAAACTGAATATCATCATCAGCATAATATTTTTTCTGTTCGTGTGCAAGACAAATTGGGCAGATGAAGTGGAGTTCATCTGTTTAAATGACTTCGTTAAACGTAATATGAGGCCAAGTAAAACACCAAACCAGTGACTGGTAAGGTGTGGGATATCCATTTATGACGTCCAAGCTGTTCTAATTTTTCGCCTTATACGTCAGTAATTTTTTCAAAGTTTCTTTGATGGTTCTCGTAAAAAAAAGTTGTGTTTTCATTGAAAAAGAAATGAGTTTGAATATTTTTACCAATTTGGTAAAACCACAGACACTTACAAATGTGGCTACATTTTCAATTGGCAGGTAAAATCACATAGCATGATTGGTTGCTAGATCATATTACTGCTAACCAAAAGGCAATAGTTCGGACCCCGGCAGGAGGTCCCTGAGTCAACCCAGCTCTAATGGGTACCTGACTTACGTTAGCGATAGTAAACGAGTCTGGGTATGCACACAGCATCTCTCTTATCTTTTTGCTTCGGAAGGCTTGATTCTTGTTGTTCGTTGGTTTTTGTTTCCTTTTCCTTATAAGAAAGCGAACTTCTTGGGTCCAAAACAAGTCATGGTATATATTATCTCATTAATGACATTGCGCATCTTAAAAGATTTGTATTATGTCCCACTCACGCTTGTAGCAGTGGCGTAGCCAGGAATTGGTCATATATATATATATATATATATATATATATATATATATATATATATATATATATATATATATATGGGTCGATGGGAGGGGTTATAACCACCCTAAACCCCGCTTGCCTGCGCAACTGGCTTGTAGCATTAAAATAAAATTTCCCAACTCCAATGATGTCACAAATCCCCCCCCCCCCCCTCAAATAACTAGCCTACAATTCAAGATATAGAAATATTCTTAGAGTAGGGTTTGCCTTCTGTTATCGTAGTAGACACACTTTACATCACTGATACCCTATCTTGAGTCTTTCTTCGTTAAAAGGTTAATAGGTCAGGTCACTATTGAACGAGACCTAGGAAATATCATTCACCTCAGTTGAATAACACTGTTAACAGATTGAAAATATCATTATCTAAGTTGAATGACAACTAGGAAATAGCTTAGCATTTGCCTACTTGAATAGGGGCTAAGAAATATCATTCGCCTAAGTCTTCGGTCACACAAATAGTTACATGACTTTTTATTACATTTTTAAAAAATACTATCCGTTTGTTTTTCTCATTTGTCACGGTGATAAAAGGGAAGTAACTCATACATTAACTAAAAACAAAACAAATAAACCGGGAGTGATCTCCCCTAAACTTTCTCGAATATCTATATATATAATTCTCTTCTGGGATCAGTTAGAAAACAAGCTGCAAGCGCCTCCTTGCAGTCCCCTCTCTTTCTCTCTATCACTATCACTACCACCCCCACCCCCACATTGTCTGGTGAGCTGTGCTCACGCTGTTTACATTTTACAATCATAGAGACGGGTTTGGTGACGGCTATTAGGGGCAGATAATTTAGTTTGAAACGATTTTAAACTTAGAGGAGGTAACCAAGAGGAGGCTGCTTTCACGTGGGGGGGGGGGGGGGGTTAGTGTTTTTAAGCAAATATTTTCAGTGGCAGCAGTGGTACTGTCGAATTCACAAATTATAAATTACTGAAAAGTAGAAAAAAAAAAAACAACTAAATAGCGGCGTATGATACGCAGCGCGTCGGCTCGTTCTTATATAAAATAACAGGGGATGGGAACTCGGGCTGTAGACATGATTTTTAATCCATTTTAAATACTTAAAGTTTTAAAAATAGAATAAAATCTCGTAGACAAATTAATTGCACACCAAGTGAACGCCAAATAAAAAAGCGCATAATAGTGCGCAATATTATTAGTACTTTTAAAATTTACATTAGTTTTTTGAGAAATCGGAAGTAGCGTAAATTACTACTTCCAGTCAACGGAAATTACTCAAAATTTTACAGAAGGTAGAAAATTAGATCTTTTACTTACATGTGAAATTTCATTTATCTATCTGAAATAGTACTCAAGTTATAGGCTTTTGAAAACTTCAAAGTAGGAAAAGTACCACTTCCGGTTATCGGAAATCGCTCAAAAGTACGGATCTACGATTTTGATAAAATACTTATATATGAAATTTCATCAACCTAGCTGTAACGGCACTCAAGTTATCGTGTTTACACACGGACACACAGACACACACACACAGACACACACACACACAGACATACGGACAAGATTGCAAAATTATGTTTTTCCGTATCAGTGAGGTGTAAAACGTCGAGATCTGTAAAAATCTCGATTTTTTTTTTTGCACGATTACAATACTTTCTCTATACTTCGTATATACGAGAAAGTAAAAATGCATAACAAACGTATTAAAAACGAGCTTTAACTTTAATATGATCATGCACTAAATAAAGAAATGAATTATTTCTTAAAATATATAGAACTAGACCTAATACTACTATTTTAATAAGCCTATTGAATAAGCCTACTAATATAAACGGGGATGTAATTAAACTTTTAAAATGCTTCTAAAATAACAAATACTGAGCGCACTTATTCGATTTTAAGAAGACCTGTGACCAAATATACGCGTGGTTTAATTAATATTTAATAAGTCTAATTTACTAATTATAATTATAATACTTATTATTGTAATTACTAATATTGTAGAATGTAGCCAATTATTATTTTAAAAATATTTGAGTTTAAAATATGATAGGCCTACGTAAGAATGGTACAGTCAACGCGCTAGAAATTAATCATCAACTAGATTTATATCTGTTAAAGTATACTATTTAAATAGTCATGAAGAATGTATCTAGATTAAAATAATTTTAGTGTTGTGCTCAAATATAAATAAAATTCCCTTGTACTTTGGTCGTGGCGTGATAACAAGAGAGATAACTCTAAAATCAATATGGCCGACAGTAAAATAGAGAAACCTCATTCTATTCCGGATTCCGAAAGCCGGGTTTGTAACCAAAAAATGCAACCGTCTAGAGAAGCTTGTAAATTAGAATCAAGATCCTGTGGTGCATCGGATGGACCCAACGGAGGGTTAGACCCCGAACCACCAAGCATTCCAAAGAGAAGGTGCTGTAAAAAAATTGTTTTAATAGTTAGACTCTAATTTTAAAAATTTGCTACAATTTTATTTTTTTTAAATCTTGATCTCGGCTATTCACGGGCTAGATCTAGAATCTAGAATCTAGATCTAGATCTACAGAAAAATACTAGACTAGATCTAGATCTAGATCTTAATTCTAATACAATCAAATGTTAAATGTGTGAATGATGTTAAAAGTTAAAGTAAAATGTTAGGCCTAATCCTAATAAATAAAGTCAGTGCAAAAAATTATTAAAATATTCCAAAAATCAATTTTTCCTGAATCCTACTCCTACCTTCCTCATTTTTCCTTTAATTTTAATTTTTCTAAAATTTAAGAATAAGAAGGCACAGTGTGTGTAGTGTAGACTACACACACTGTAGAATAAGACTAATCAGAATACAAAAGAGATAAAAGCATGCATCCACCAATCACTACTATTTGTATATTATTAAAAAAAATTTGAAGCAGGCCCTAGCCTAACTAAATATACACATATGTTCCTGCTTTTTAGACAAGAGCTACTGAAGTGGAATGGCTGGGGTTACAAAGATTCCAAGTTTTTTGTCAACAAAGATGGACATGTGGAGTTTACAGGAGAAAGGTATCGGATCAGTGGCAGCACCATGCCAGGACTACGGGACTGGATGAAAAAGACAATTGGGATTTCACTTGATCATAAAACACCAGCACAGGTATACATCTTAACTCTCAACGGGCCTTGCTTATTTTTGTTTGGAATTTGTTTAAAATGAACTATTTCTCAGTTTAGCAGCTCTGCTTAGAATTTATAATAGAAATAGCTTATGTTTTCAGTTAATAATAAAAAAAATGTGACTTATTATATTTTACTAATCAAGTGTTTGGAATAGCTTTAATATTGATTTCAAAAGTTTATGTTTTGAAAAACTTGATACTGATTAAATGAAATGTGTAAAAATATGTGATTTCCTTTGAAAACTTCTTAGATTTTTTTTCAAAATTTCCATTCTTTCAGCCCGAGATTTCAGCTGCCAATATTCCACTACCCATAAAAAACGAAGGATTTTTTGCAGACCTGCGCAAAACTACAATATCTCATTCAGATGACTGTCAAGATAGGCTGTTTAGAGCTCATGGTATTTTCTTTTTATCATAGTAAATTTTTTAAAAAGAATTATTACTTGTGCCATTCTTGTAAAGTATCTATTCTTAACCATTAATGTCCCATTCATTCTACCAAAACTCCACCCATGACGGCCCAATGTAAGGAGCATAACTCTGTATGATCAAGTGAATAGTTTCACAAAATATTTGTTTTTGTCTAAATGAAATTGAAAATTAAGATAAAAACTACTGCTTAATGTTGGGAATAAACCTGGCTTTCCAACAGTATTAAATAGAATATATTATATTTGGTAAAAGTACAGTATAAAAATAAAAAATGTCGGAGAAAATTCAAAACAGGTCATTTTCGGTAGTCAACTTTATTTATTTTTGTCTAAACAACTATGCATCGAATTTAACAGTTAAATATCAATTTGGTTATGTTTAAGATATATAATTCATAAAATACATGCCTAGATATGTTTAGAGGCATTATTTTATTTTATTTTTAATATTAAATCTACTAAAAATAGGACTGATGAGTCTAAAATTTCGAGATAGAAAGAAACTATTATTTTTTATCTTTCAAAAGCGCCATTGAAATTAGAAGACCGGAAAAGGATGCTGAAACTATCCGACTTCCTGTTTAGTTAAAAATTAGGATTTGTAGGCCAAATTTTAATGAAACAAATTTAATTTTTCTATGCGTATTGTAAGCGGGCGGCAGCGGGCGTTACGGGACATTAATGGTGTCGGGCGGCAGCGGGCGTTACGGGACATTAATGGTTAATTTATTAATTATTCAAATTTTAAAATGTTACATTTCTTTGAATGATTTAACTTCCTCGTAGCAATTATTTTGTGACAATCTTTTAAGGTCATACGTTACATGAAATATTCCTGTTAAGAGAGGGCAAATATGAACGTGTACCTGATTTAGTCATTTGGCCTGGTAAGTTCTTTGTTTTAGGGTGAATAAAATATTTTTGTTTTCATCAGTTGTTCCAATCTTAAAGTTTTGAGCTGGTAGAGAAAATCAAGATTTTTACTGTGTAATTTTATAATTTGTAAACTTTTGTTGCAGCCTGCCATGATGAGGTTGTGAAGGTTGTAGAACTGGCGTGTAAACACAATGTGGTCATCATTCCATTCGGAGGTGAGACATGTTTAGAAACTGTGTTGTAAAGACATTCCATGTTACTGATACTATACTATATTGATTTTAACTAAACAGAATATTTTTATTTAGCAGCTGCATTATCATAGTTTGTTTACTAACAGAAGTGAACAAAAAAGAATTCTTTTATTTTTATTCGATTACGCAAAAAAGAAAATGAAGTTATTATAAGCTATCAATATTTGACTTTATATATGTAAACTAAATACTACAATGCAGCAGCCATATTTATAGATCATTTACTGTTTAATCAACTCTCAAAAACTTTAAGAAAAACAATGTGTCTTGGTTATAAAATATTTAAAATCTGTTGTATCTCAGGTGGTACAAGTGTGTCCAATGCTTTAGAATGCCCAGCAGAAGAGAAAAGGATGATTGTTTCATTAGACACATCGCAAATGGTTTGTATACACTTTGTTCCAGTGATTAATTTTAATAGCTTCTAATGAGAATATTTCCCTGTTTGTACTCGTGTGATAAACTTTATATTGTATTTAGGTTGTAAATATAATTTCTGAGTGTTCTTGTAAAAAAAATGTTTTTCTATTACAGAACCGTATCTTGTGGGTGGATGAAAAGAACATGACAATGAGGGCTGAGTGTGGTATCATTGGACAAGATCTAGAAAGGAAGGTTTGTGGTTTAATTTAAGCTTTCATTGATAAGGTTAAATGAATCAAACTCATTCTAGAATGTTGAAGGGGCTGGAATATGTTACATATAGCTACTTTAATGTGAAATTGAATAGTGTTTCAAGAATTAGATGTGTATCATTTTTTTTAAATTATTGTTTTATTATTTTTTACTAATGTGTGGAATGTGGATGGAGAAATGGTTAAATATTGTATTTTTTTTAAACTGGCATGGAGAGGGTTAATTGTATTTTTACCTTACAACTTGCAGAGAGAAGGATAATTATATTTTAGTTCTACAGTTGGTATAGAGAGGGTTAAATATGTCTCTATTCTACAGTTGGTACAGAGAGGGTTAAATGTGTTTTGTCTTTCCACAGTCAGTACAGAGAGGGTTAATTGTTTCCATTCTACAGTTGTTATAGAGAGGGTTAAATGTGTTCTATAATCCACAGCTGGCAGAGAGAGGTCTGTGTACTGGGCATGAACCAGATTCCATGGAGTTTAGCTCTCTGGGTGGATGGGTGGCCACCAGAGCCTCTGGGATGAAAAAAAATATTTATGGCAACATTGAAGATTTGGTGAGTTGAACTACACAATACAGCAGTTCTTATGATTATAAGGAGACACATTCAATGAAAATTTCTTTTTAAAAATTCTATCTTCCTTGTTCCTGGATTATTTTCCTTTTGGTAGAGATTAAATAAAAGCATTCCAGTTTACTTTTATAAATATTATTAGAATACCCATAATGATTACACTGATATTACCTATGGATTATTCCTCCACTATTTTTTAGTGCAAAAAGATTCATTTAACTGTTTACTTGAGCATTCACATCAACATACCTATGATATTTTTTCATAATATTTTTTTTTAACACTAGAAGTTGTATTTAGTTAGTTATTAATTCATTTCCTGGTCAATGTTAAGATGATGATTGTAAATACTAGATGCATTCTACTATTGATTTATTTACTAGCTAGTCCATGTAAAGATGATAAAGTTTTTAAATGCTGGATGTATTTAACTATTTATTTATTAACCAGTTGGTCCATGTGAAGATGGTAACACCTCGAGGCGTCATGGAGAAAAACTGCCAGGTCCCGCGCATATCCTGTGGTCCAGACATCCACCATTTTATACTAGGCTCTGAAGGTTTGTTCTAGAATATACTTTTATTTCTTTTTTCTAAATTTTGAATTATTCATAAGATGATATTACAAGATTTTATATTAATAGATGATTTTCATGTAAATAGTAGCCTGATGATTTTTTTTTACCTTGCCAGGTACACTGGGGGTCGTGACAGAGGTCACTTTAAAAGTTCGGCCCTTGCCACCTTGTAAAAAGTACGGCTCCATTGTGTTCCCAGAGTTTGAGTGTGGAGTCAAATGTATGAGAGAAGTAGCCAGACAGGTAGGCGTGGCAGAATCAACTTCTCAGCTTTAAGTTACTTCATTTTTGGTAGAGTTATAAGCCCTTATTAAGTTACCTCCCATTTTTAACTTTTTTTTTTAAATGCTGTTAGATATAGCTGATTATTTTCTTTTGGTCCTTATAGAATAGTTTTAATTTACATATTAATTTTAATTGCTCTTGACGTAAGTACTATACATTTAACCATATATCATTAATTAGGTATATTGTTTAAAATCAAGCATAATTGAATTAGGACTAGTTGATGTGAGAAAACTGATAACATGGTTTTACTTAATCATGGTTTCAATTGTTTTACTAGAGATGTGCACCAGCTTCTATTAGGCTAATGGATAATGAGCAGTTTCAGTTTGGTAATTTTATTTTTTTTTCTTCCAGTATTAAAATGTATTATATTGAATTTGGCTTGAATATGATCTCATTTGGATGGTAGGAGAATTGTATCTAAGTATTCATAAATAATGGCTTGTTTGCCTTTCTTTAGGTCATGCCTTGAAGGTTGAGTCCAATTCAATACTGACCAATTTCATGGATGGTTTAAAGAAACTGTACATTACCAAGTTAAAGGGCTTTGACCCAACTAAACTTTCAGTGGCAACTCTTCTGTTTGAAGGCACTAAAGAGGTCAGCTGTTCTTAATTAGTTTACATGTATTCAGAATATCGTATGGTTATTAGGTTTTATTTATAAGTATTGTAACTTGTGATTTTCTCTTAGTTCATTTAAAATTTTTATTTTTAAACATTTCTATGTTAACATTTTAGGAAGTAGCAGCTCAAGAGAAACGTGTTTATGAGATAGCAGCTATGTTCAGGTAGTTGATATGTACTTAAGGCCTACTATGTGCACCAAAATGTGAATTCATATTTTAAAAATCTATTTAAAAAAAACAAGCAAAAAGTCAACTTTAGGATTTTATAACTTATTCATTCACACAATGACTTGAGTATTAGAACTCACATTGATGTCTAGTGAAAAAATGTCTTCTATAACAGAGGTATCCCTGGTGGAAGTGACAATGGAGAAAGAGGATACATGCTGACCTTTGTGATTGCATATCTAAGAGTAAGTTCTTTTGAGAATTTATAGTGAGGTAATAAAAAGCTAGTTTAGCTGGATCTTATCATCTTTTTTGACTAATCAATGGGTTTAGAAAAAACAAAATATTAAGGCTCCAAAGGGTGGTTCATAACTTTTGGGAAGCTCTTCCTGGGTCTGCCCATCACTGACCTGTCTGGGAAAAAGGAAACATAGGCTGGACAAAGTATTGACCACACATTCCGTTAGACAACATGCTCTGAAATGGTACATCTCCTAGAGGAGGGGGCTACTTAATTTTACTCATGGTATTTTTCCAGTTGGTTGAGTCAGTGAGAGGGACTTGCTCATAATTGTTGTTGTGCACCAAAAATATGCTTTTTTCACTAACACTGCTCATGATTTTAAAATATTATTAATCTTTCTGTTGCCATTGGGAAAGAGAAATGTATGGTTTTATTCAATTGTGTAGTTAATAGATGGAATAAAATCACAAACAATATGTTTCATGTCTACAGGATATTACATTTGACTACAATGTTTTGATAGATTAAATAAAATAACAATATGTTTCATGTCTACAGGATATTGCATTTGACTACTATGTTGTGTTAAATTGAATAAAATCACTATATGTTTCATGTCTACAGGATATTGCATTTGACTACTATGTTGTGATAGATTAAATAAAATCACTCTATGTTTCATGTCTACAGGATATTGCATTTGACTACTATGTTGTGGCTGAATCATTTGAGACTTCTGTCCCCTGGGACAGGTATGTTTTTGGTTGAATTAATAAATCAGGTTTATTTTGTTTTCATCCACTAATGACATGTTTGGACTGACTCAAAGTTGTTGTTATTCCAAGAGTTAAATGGCTATGTGATGTTTATTGTAACATTATAGTAAAAAATAATGCATGCTAATATTTTTATGAAAATGTGCTAATAATGGCATGAGGTTATCTACGATGACAAGTTATGTATGATATCTTATTTATGAATATTTGCTTTTATGTCTGTCAAACCTTCAGGTGTTTAGACCTGTGCCAGAATGTCAAGGAAAGGCTACACAGAGAGTGTAAAGATAATGGCATACAGTTTCCACCTTACATCACTTGCAGGTAGGAAACATGCCTCATGCGTTCTCTTTGTCGTAAGCTATGCTAGTACTTTTATTAAAATGCTATATTAATAATGTACAGTTTACTGTAGGTCCCTGGAAAAATATGTAAACATAACATGCATTAACAAAGATTTGTATAAATACTTATTATATTAATACACTTTATTTGGTCAAAGATCATGGAAAAATGTTTTATTAAGCTGCAATGTTCATGTGGTCATTTTTTACTGAGCTTTTTTTAAATTATAGATATTTTTAAAAATTCCTTGCACACTTTTTGTGTGCAGTTTTTGGTTGCAAATTGTTCTTGTCACCCTTACATACATACTTACAACATAAGTTTAGCCTTGTATTGATGACTACCTCTTTTTCACACAGTTAAAAAAATTACTTGAAAACAGATTTCATTAAACTATATTTATAGTAAAAAGTAATCATACAAAACATTTTACAATTTAAGAAATATGAAACTTGACTTATCTATTTTTTTTTCTAATTGTGTGTCACAACTTTCTTGTAGTTCTGGAATTTAGTATTCCCACATTTTCTATGATTGTTTCCCCAGAGTCACCCAAACCTATGATGCAGGAGCTTGTGTTTACTTTTATTTTGCTTTCAACTACAGAGGCATTAGTAATCCTGTGCATCTGTATGAGCATATTGAGGTGGGTAGAAGCTCTCTATAGGGTCCATTAGAGACAAAGTCATATTCTCTGTGTAGATAGATGTAAGAGTAACTAGTCTATCAGAAGTGAATAGAATTTGTTGTATAGCTAAAAAGAGGCTGTGGGTATTAATTAGTTTTGATTATGTCCCCTGTATTGTCCCCTGAAATTCTTTATCTAGCTTGAGTCTGTGTAATAAAATGTTAAGTTCTCAATAAAAATGTGGATTTTTCAAATATTTAATAACTAGTCATATTTTTTAGTCGAATGTAAAATATATATTATGATATTTTCTAGAAAATGATTGTACTATTTAGCACAATTTTTAAAAATAACTTTAAAAATATTTTTGTATTTTTATAAATCTATATTTAAATGTTCCAGCATGTTTTAGACCTTATGTTAGGGTTAATATCAATTACTTTTTATACCTTTATTGTTTCATTTATATTCACCAAAACCTTTTGCCTAATCTTACATAGACATGTTAAAACTTGGTTTATTTTATTTATTTAGACTTGTGGTCGTGAAGAAATACTGGCCAATGGTGGTAGCATATCTCACCATCATGGAGGTATGGTATTTGTTATGTCTAATCATGTTCTGAGTACCTGCATTACATAGTGGCATTGTGAGGGTGGGGGGGGGGGTGGGGGGGGGGGGGGGGGGGAGGACACACTGGCTAATGGTGTTAGCATATCATTGAAGTATGGTATTTTGTATACATCTAATCACTCATGTAGGTCTTGGGGGAGGGGGGGGGAATTACTCTTAAGTCATAGTGTAAGCGATTGAGAGGGGAAGGGGAAGTGTGGGGCTGGATTCATGGGGGGGGGGGGGGGGTCACCTCAGTTTTGGTAAAAATAATTTATTCCTAAAATAATATCACCACATTGTGTAGTCTGGTGATTTTAAAATATATCATATGATAAATTTAGAAAACTTCTCATTCCATTGGTTCTGGTTTAGCTATTGCATGAGTCACCTTTACAAGGTGTCTGGACTGTAGTTTAATTCAGTATACCTGATAAGTATTTTTTTTATTCTTATGATCTTACTTTGATTTTGTTGAATTTAAATCTAGAATGTTTTTTATTTTTTTTTTTTCAGTTGGGAAAATCCGCAAACCGTGGCTAAGGAAAACTGTTGGAGACGTTGGTCTAGGCGCCATGCAAGCAATCAAGCAATACATCGACCCGAACAATATTTTTAGCAACAATAACCTGATGATTGGCCAGAGCTTTGCAGGGAATGTCAGGCAAGAGCCTGAGAATGTGTTACTACCATCAAAACTTTGAGCCGGAACTTGCTCGTTAACTGGTTAAACCATACCCGTTAACTTATTTAATTAGCAAATCTCTGTGGAACAAGCTAGATGAATGTTGATGATTAACAATTTGCAACACAACCAGCCAATACAATTTTAATTTTTGTGCATGTGGTAACTTGAAAATTAACTTTTTGTTTAGCCAAAATATTTAATTATTTGTGTTGTAGTAAAATTTGTAATGGAACAACTAATTTCGGTCTTCTTGCTTGGTTGAACAGTCAAATATTGAGTTAAACATTGTTTTTTTTTTAAATTTGTTTTGTTGTGAAGTCAAATAGTTAATTGAACAGCTTTTTTCGGAACTATTTTTAATAGTTTGGCTGTATATTTTGATTAATAGTAAAAGAAAATTGCTCCTGAAGGTTTGCCAAATTTTTAATTCAATAAATATCAGATCACATATTTTGTACTCAGGTGAAGCTCCATATCTCTGTTCTGATCTTTAATTAGACTATAGCAGCAGGTCTTGTCTATATCTCCAATTGCTAGATGTGTATTTTCGCCATTTCAGTAATGTTTATTTTTAACCTATGGTTGTTATTAAATTATTGAAAGAGAAAATTGGACTAGAATAAATTTGAACTTTTTTTATCTATATGACACAAGGACTAATTTCAAATCAATTAGTGGATTGTTTTTTTTTTGTTTTGTTTTTTAATTGTTAGAATTTCAAAATTTAAAGTTAAAACTTAAAGAATCGACAAAATATAACATCCGATTTATTAATAGAATTTTTTTAAAAAAGTTGTTGTGTATGTTGAAGAAGTTGAGTGAGTACAGGCTTTTACAGAGCATCAGTGATACAAAACATGCCAGTAAATAATTGCTATGAGGTTGTTAAAATACTTAATAATTTTTTTTAGCATTTTTAACTATCAACATAAATATATGCATAATTGTATGTTCAGAATTCATATCACTAGAAATCTCAAAGATTGGATTGTATTGAATAGATAGGAATTATTCAATACATTTTATAACACAGCAAGTAAATGGTTTCTTCTAGAAATTGAATGAATTTCCAGGGATAATGTTTAAAATGGTAGCTGAACGCATTGCTAGCTAAGCATAAGCTTGTTTACACAATTATTGTTTTAAGTTTGTTGATTATCTATTCGCTTTTTTTACATTTGTTTTAAAACGTCATTTAAAAAATGTAGGTTTTTTATTTATTTTTGGTAAAACTGTTTTATAAAATTTAAACATTTTTGTGTGATGTAATCATGAATTTCACTAAAAAAAGATTTCATAAACAGTTTTTTAAACATTTCTCTTGCATTAAAGATTTTAAAATTGTTAAGAAAAACAATAGTACTAACTTAGCAGGATAAAAACATATAATTTTAAGTGACTGAATTGGCTCATTAGGTAAAGGGTAACTACATAATTCTCTCAATGGCCACTGAAATATTAATCATACTTTATTTACCCAATGAATTTCCTGATTTTGTAGAAGAGGCTTGTAGTGTTTTATTTATAGGCCAATATCTTGGAATTTTTTTTAAGCTCTGGTGTCACAAAGTCATGGTCTATTCTAAAACATTTTTGTCACTGTCAAACTCTGGAAACTGTAATTTATTACTGGTCTTGGGAGATTTTTCTCTAAATTTTTAATTCTGTATGCCAAACATTCACTAAAATGCAAAAAAAAAAAAATTCATACATTTTTTTTTTTAAATCTTCACAAGTAAATCAGATTCATTTTGTAAATTTGCATATGATTCACAAGGAATAAAGATGCTTATTTCAAAAACTAGTGGTGTTTTAGTTAAAAAAAATAAATAAAACCTGACTTCTAATTTTAATAACTTGCCACTGGCCATATGACCATTGTTTTTCTAGTCACATGACTTTTTTTTTATTTCTGTGGAGTCATGTGACTTTAATCTACTGGAGCCAGACTAAACAAATGGTAAACTATTGTATGTCTGTATGTAGAGTGTGTGCTCGTAATATGAAATATCCTTCAATCTTTTCATCTTCCTGTACTGATTTTTTAAAAACATTCTCCATTATATAAAAAAAAATAAAAGAAATTTTTGTTGAAAAATATATTTTGTATTTGTTGCTAGACTAATTAACCTATTATTATTATTATAACAAGTTTATAAATAAAGCTATGTAAGGAAAATATATTTTACCTTAATGTTCAGGGGGAAGAATTAGACAACTACCCTAGTTTTATTGAGATTGTCTCCCTTGGGCTGGAAGACTCCGACCAGTTTTATAAAACAACAAACTCCGGTGACATAATGCTTAGTGTTTATTAAAAACAAGTTGCAAAATGACGAAATTAAAGTACAATATAAGGGTCATCCATAAACGAAGTCAAGTTTTTTTGAAGAAGCTAAACACCCCCAGTAAAATGATATCAAACCTTAGGCTTCAACACCCCTTCAAAATAGCAGTTTAATTTTTTTTTTTTTTTTTTAACATCGATTTCTTTCTAAAATTTAGAGTATTTATTTTAGAATTTGCAAAAAAAAAAAAAGAAGAAGGATTTTTAAAACGCGAAATAACGTCTTACATTCATTTTCTAAGAATTCTTTTTAAAATGCAAAACTATGACGTCACACCAGAGGCGTAGCTACCCTTCCCGGCGCCCGGGGACAAACTTTTCGATTTGCACCCCCCCCCCATAAAACTTTCGATTTGCACCCTCCCCCTTCAACCTTTCGATTTGCACCCCCCTCAACCTTTCAATTTGTTTTTCCAACCCATTTTGGCGCCCACTAAGCCCCCGCCCCACCCCCCTCGCTACGCCTCTGCGTCACACCATCTGAACCTCCCTCCCCCTTATCGAGCATCGTCACAGAAATTACGAACCCCCTTCGTCTAGGAGTGTGGCATCATTAAATAGATGAATTCATGGGGCCTAGCAATAAAAATTGTATACTATGCCATGTAAACCGAGATCAACAGATTGCGCTTATTGAGGTTGTTAAATTATAAACAGAATTTAACATCTTGTACTTTGGTATACAATTTTATTTTTGTATTATCATGTGTATTTTGTTAAATAAATAAAATTAACTTGGTGTCAGAGTTTCTTCCAGACATTTCTTCGGTGAGGGGGGGGGGAAGGAAGTCTACCAAAGAAAGTCTACCGCCCCCCCCCCCCCCCCCCCCCCCCCCGATCGAAATGGAATTTATATAAAAATATATACTTTTGACTGTGTAACCAGAGTTTCTTCCAGGTATCTCTTCAGTCTACCGCCCCCCCCCCCACCCCCCGAACGAAATGGTTTTAATATAGAAAACATACATAGCCATCGTCCTACAGCTAACTGGCCCAACCACTGGCGGCAGAAGATTAAAAATAACTCGTTGCCGCGGGGTTAGAAGAAAGTCTGACGAAATAGATTAGGAGGGTTTCATTAATGCGTTATCAATCCTATATTCTAAAACGTGTGATCTTGTTTTCTATAATTGTGTTATTTAAATGTAAACAATGCCTGCGCTTGGATCATATTTATCGGGGCACAGGCTTACCTACACTACCGCCCAGCACACCAAAAGGCGTATGAAAGTCTTAAGAGTACGTTAATCTCTCAGCATAATAGTGAGGTAAAACGCACTTCGTTTGCCGCCCAGGTGTCAGGAGCCTAGAGGAGTGCTTTCGGGAGTCCAAGTTACACTACATAGCGCTCACGGGATAGCCCAGGGCGCCAAATCACACAAGCAAACAAACACACAAACATACTTTCATTTTTATGTGTGTGTGTGTGTGTGTTTGTTTGTTTGTCTTTTATGCATTACAACGCCGTTCATCTAATCGCCATGTAATTTTGGGGAGTTGATAAAAATACTCCAGCCAAGATTTCTGCAAAAAAAAATTTAATTTCGAAACACAATGGTACATGAGGATCCCGTAATAAAAAATAGGATTATTGAACTTTGAGTAATCAGGGGAAATAACCAAGTTTAGATTATTTTGCCAAAAAATATTAACTTGGTTGTTTCCCTTCGTCCTATGGGCCCACCGTTCCAAAATTAACGATTGGTAATACCTGAAGTATAAATCTTAACTTTCTTCGAAAAAGTTACATTTCCAAAAATAGCGATTGGTAATCTATGCATATAAAATTGTAGTATGTTTATTTGTCTGTGTTTTTGTCTTTTATGCATTACTCAGCGTTTGCGAAGTTGTGAATACTCATTGGGAGATTTTTTTGCGAAAAAAATACTTTGAAATAGAGGCGCCACCGTATTGTTTACTTTGGCGCCCCGAGATCCCCCGCAAGCACTATGGCCTATGGCGCCTACATTTATTTTAAACAGCAAAATACAACAGGAACACTGTCGCACATGCCATTTAATCAAGCCGAACCATGGGCCGTTTCCGACGCCCAGCGGTTGTGTAACCGGTGGCTCCACAGAAAACTCCGACGACGCGCCTGACACATGGGCGATTGCTGAAGGGTTTTCACCTCACTATTACGGAGGGTAGCCCAAGCAGTGTTTCTTCCAGACTTTTTTCTCTGGGGGGGGGGGGGGGGGGGCACTTGAAATTTTCGGGGGGGGGTAGACTTTCATCGGGGGGGGGGCGGACACTGTTAAATGTATATATTTTCTATATAAATTCCATTTCGTTCAGGGGGGGGGGGGGGGTAGACGGAAAGAAACTCTGAGCCCAAGACTTTCATACTGCACGCAATGTAGCGTCTGGGCGGTAGGGTGGACCAACCGGGCGGTAGGGTGGACAAACTGGGCGGTAGGGGTGGACAAACTGGGCGGGTAGGGTGGACAAACTGGGCGGTAGGGTGGACCAACCGGGCGGTAGGGTAGACAAACCGGGCGGTAGGGTGGACAAACTGGGCGGTAGGGTGGACCAACCGGGCGGTAGGGTGGACAAACCGGGCGGTAGGGTGGACAAACCGGGCGGGTAGGGTGGACAAACTGGAGGGTAGGGTGGACCAACCGGGCGGTAGGGTGGACAAACCGGGCGGTAGGGTGGACAAACTGGGCGGTAGGGTGGACCAACCGGGCGGTAGGGTAGACAAACCGGGCGGTAGGGTGGACAAACTGGGCGAGGTAGGGTGGACAAACCGGGCGGGTAGGATGGACAAACCGGGCGGTAGGGTGGACAAACCGGGCGGGTAGGGTGAACAAACCGGTAGGGTGAACAAACCGGGCGGTAGGGTGGACAAACCAGCGCCATAACAACTCTGACCCAAGAAATACTGCGCCTGTTTAACTGGTAACGCAAATCTTCTGAGCTTAATCTTCTTAAAGTATTGCATCAGCCTGAGACAGAACGTGGGACGGGAGCGCTTTGTTATGTAATATTGACCGCCATCTAACTTAAATCTTAGCACTTTGGTTTTTTTCGTCATTTTTTGTTGGGCTCTGTCTAGGGATCTGTTAGGGGTTCAGTTTAGGGCTAGGTTTATATTAGATATGATATGGCTGATTTTTTTAAAAGCGATCAAAGTTCTTTTAGGCGACTCTTTTTTGACAGTGACCATCCCCAGTGTTTCTTCCAGACTTTTTTCTCCGGGGGGGGGGCACTTGAAATTTTCGGGGGGGGGGGGGGCGGTAGACTTTCTTCGGGGGGGGGCGGACACTGTTAAAAGTATATATTTTCTATATAAATTATATAAATTTCATTTCGTTCGGGGGGGGGGGGGGGGCTTAGCCCCCACCGAAGAGATGCCTGGAAGAAACTCTGACCATCCCCCCCCTCCCCCCCCCCCCTTCTTTTCCGACACCTACACACCGGAGCAGCTCCCTCCCTCCACCGGGAATTTAAAGAAAATTAAAATTGAATTTCTCCCTCACTCCCCCTTTTCCGAAGGTTTTTTAAATTCCTCCCCCCCCCCCCCCCCCCATATCTGGAAGAATGGAATCGCTAAAAGCAAATAAATGTCAATCTTTGACCGCAGTATTGACCCTACCTTGGACGCACGTTTAAACCTTGAGCCTGTTTAACCTTTTTGACGGCATCAATGCTAAGGTCATTCGAGATCGTAGGGTAGGCCCAACTGATCGAAAGACAGCAGACAGTAGCAACCCTACCCGATCTGCACTATCACGCTAAAGCCAACAGCACCGATCCTAAATCCATCCACCTTTTCGCCCATTTTTCTTTCATAAATCAGCCCAATGGACTTTCCACCCCGTCAAAGCCGCCTGTGAAGAACAATAAATCCGTCGGTATATCACGCCATCTTTTGTTTTGAGTATGACCCACAACGGAGAGGCGATAACATTTCACGTGCTCGTATTCTCTTTCCGGGCCAAAGGCCACGCCTGCGCACTGGCTGACTTGTGAAACGGGACATGCGTGTTTACAGCTTGTTTCGGCGGGGAGGTGTGTTTTTAAAATAACATTTACATTTCTATAAATAGACTGATCTGACCTTTCCAACGTGGCAGTTGTCCAATGAAATGATATAGTTAAACTCAAGTTATGTCGCTAATGTGAGGCTAGCTAACCTACTTTACTACTTTTGGCAATGGCTTGGATTCTCCAAGAGGCGTTGAGGCATAGATCTATATATTTTAAGAAACGTCTTCATCTCAATGTTATTGAAACATATCTGAAATACTGGGGAAGTAGGCAGATAGATCAAAATGTGGTCCCAGTGGCGTAGCGAGGTCGGGTGTTACCCGGTGCGGCACTTAATGGTGTCACCCCCCAGAGGCGTAGATACCCTTCCCGGGGACAAACTTTCAAATTTTGGATTTACACAGCCCCCCCCCCCTCCCCCATCAAACTTTCGACTTGCACCTCCCCTCAAGTTTTCTATATATATTTTGCTATTTTTGGCCTTGGTGTCACCCCCCTAAATGGTGTCACCCGGTGCGGTCCGCACCCCCCCACCCCGTTCCCTCCCCCCCCCCCTCACTACGCCTCTGTGTGGTCCTAAACTGATCAAATTGCCAATAAGAAGAGTTCTTATCAGCCGACAAAAAAAATTAAACGTAAAACTGGTTCAGTTAAAGGCAATTATCTTTTGGCGATGTACAAAAAAAAAATGAAATTAGTTACAAAATAAAAAAAAAATAACATTTTAGAAAA